GCCCGGGACCCACGCCGCTGCTGCTGGACGCCTGGCTGGTGCCGCTGTTCTTCGCTATGCTGATGTTGCTCGGGCTAGCCGGGAACTCGTTGGTCATCTTCGTCATCTGCCGCCACAAGCAGATGCGGACGGTGAGCAACTTCTACATCGGTGAGTGCAGGGCGCTGTGAGGGCGCGGGACAGGACTTCCCCAGACCCAGATCTCTCTCCTGCAGGGCGCCCGGTCTCCTCCTCCTTGTATTTTAGACCAGAGCGCAATCTCCTGCGTTGGCTCTCAGTTGCCAGGCTGCAAGCGTGGTGGCTTTGGAAGGCGGAGGCAAGAGGATCACAAGTTTGAGCCCAGCCTGGACAACTTAGGGAGACCTTGTCTCAGAATAAAAAATACAAAAGGGCTGAGGATGGGGGTTAATACAAATGTCCGCAGAACAAAGAAACAAAAAAGGGCAGGGGATGTAGCTCAGCAGTGTGGTGCCTGCCTGCCAAACACAAGGCCCTGAGTTCAATTCCTGATACCAAAAAAGAAAGAAAGAAAGGAAAAAGATTTTATTTAAAAAAAAACACAAAAGAAACCCACCACCTTAAAATAAGGGGGAGGAGGTCGCCCTTGGCCTCCCTCCACTCACAGAAGCCCTATTGTAAAATTGTTCTGAGCCCCAGCTGGCACCTCTCTGTGCTGGCATTCAGGAGTGTGTGCAGTGTTACTTCTGTGGTGATTCTGAGTCTATGCCGCTGCCGCCCCCCAAGTTTTATTTATCTTTAGATAGGGTCTGGCTGTGTACTCCAGGCTGGAGTTGAACTCAAGGCCGTCGCTGCTTTGGCCTCCCCAGGGCTGGGATTACAGTCATGGGCCATGAAGCTCTGCTGCCATCCTCAGTTTGGAAAGGAGGAAACGAGGGTCAGGAGGGAGCAGAGGGCTCCTCGGGCTGGGGCTGGGGCGTGCAGCTCAGGGGTGAATGCTTGCCCAGCGCAGGAGCCTAGGGTTCCATCCCCTACACCACGGGAGTGGAGGGCGGTTCTACCAGAATGCCCATGCATTCTGTGCCGTGCTGTTGAGTGGAGGGTGCCCCAGCTTCTCTGGCCGTGGGTGTGGGGTCCCCCACTGGGACGAGCCTGGGCCAGGGAGGCTGGGCCCCACATCCACCTCCCCCTTCACACTTGCAGCCAACCTGGCTGCCACCGACGTGATTTTCCTGGTGTGCTGCGTCCCCTTCACAGCCCTGCTGTACCCGCTGCCCGCCTGGGTGCTGGGCGACTTCATGTGCAAGTTTGTCAACTACATTCAGCAGGTGTGCGCCCTGGGCTCGCTGATCCAAGGAGGGAGGCAGCGACTGGCTGGGTGTGAGCATGGGCGGGGTCTCGTTTCCATGGAAATATGCGAGGCGGCGGCGGCGGCGGCGGCGGCGGCG